CCTCCTTGCGGCCCGCTGGGTAGTGAAGATCATAAGGCCGAGCGAGACTGCGGGCCGCTACATCACCTACAGGCTGGTGCAGTAACCTGGAGCTGTCGGGTAAGGCGGAGTACGAAACCCTCTGGCCGGCGGAGGGTTTGGGCAGTGCCTTAGACTTACGCTGGGGCTTTCCGGGATTGACTTGAGGTGAGCTGTCTCCAGGAAAAGATCATCCCGGAACTTTAAATTGTCTGTGGAGGGAACGGTTAGCGAGAGGACAGAGCAGAGCAAGGCTTAACCAGTCTCTTGCCTCAATATCCACCGTTTAGGACATGATGCCTGTCGGTGTTCAGGGCATTCAGTGGGGCTTGGCCTTGCGAGCCGTCTGCTGGGGGAGGCCTGAGGTGATTCACATCCCGAGTTCTCTTTCTTCCAGGTGTGGAAGAGTTGTGTGACACCTCGCGATCCTCCCATCCACCGGGGCTTTTTAGAGGTGCTGAGACGTCTGCCTTTTCATAGATGGCCAAAAGAAAACTCTCTTTCCGTGTTGCCTCTATGCAGTTGTTACTTGGCCTAATTCCTTGTTTTCCAGCATGGACTTTGCTGTAACTCCTTGCTCTTCGCTAAGGACTTATGCCGTGGAAGTAACCTGAAGCAACTGATTTGTGCAGGGAGGAAGCGAGAGGAAAAAGGCTTTTGCTTTCCTATTTTATTTATAGGATCTTACTTTTAATAAAGGTTTGTACTCTCGCTGTTCCTCGCTGGTATTGTGTTTCTCAGCCCTTCCCGTACCAAAGCCTTCTGGACTCCGCACGTTCCTGTATTTTTCGTTCTGTTCAGGGTGCCTTGCTGCTGAAGCCCCGATGGACTCTCCGTCATGGCTGAGCCAGGAGCTCACCCTGCAGAACTCTGACCCAGCTGTCGTGCGCAGTTTCGACGCTGCAGTTCAGACTTACCTCGTTGCTTACCTTACCTGTTCTAACCTCTGGCCCTTGTTTTGGGACCTTGGTGTTCAGATATTGCAATGGAGAGTTGCTTATCACCCCCCAGTCGCTTTCGTTTTAATCTGTGCCAGGTCTCTTGAGGGTTTTTAAAATTCAGTATACTTGCTGGAAATACTTGGAGTACTTCCTCATGGTGCTTGGCCTCCTGTGGCCACGGGCATATGGGTCTGGAAGACTCTGATCTCCAGGACGGACACGGGTTGGAACACGCTGATTTTATTTTTTTTTTTTTTTTGGAAGCATGTCAATCCGAACCCAGCAAAACACGTAACGCAGCTTCATCCAGCAGCACAGGCATGTCATAACAAACACGCTTTACTTTTTCCACGCTGAATTAATACACAAATAGAAGGGTGCCTGTTACCATGTGAAGCTCAAGCGTAGCTTTCGTCCCTTCCCTCACTCACATTCACCCGTCACCCATCCTCGCAAACACACGCGGTACCGCCCGTGGTAGCAGTGCTGGCAGCAAGAGAGGGCAGTCGGCCTCATCCCTCTTGCTGCCGTGGAAATGACCTGCTGGAAAAATCCAACCCCCTCGATGAAGAGCTGCGGAGCAGAATGTCTCTCAGGTATCGCTGGCTCTTCTTTGGCTCAGTTACAAACCATCCAGCTGTAAATTAACTCTGGTTTTGTGTACCTTTCACTGTGTGTGCTGCGCTGAGATGCATGTCCCATCAGTCTCGGAGAGCTCTGGCAGCTGCGAAGCCCAGGCTCTCCCCTGTGCTGGAGGCTGATCCTCCGGGGGGCCGAACGTCTGGTTGATCGCCCAGTTGTACAGTAACGAGGTGTGTATAACCCCCGGACGCCGCTCGCTGTATCCTCAGCTGGAACATCGCTCCTGCCTCGCTCGCTTGGCTTCCTTGGCCGGAGATCCGCCTCCGCCTTCCCCCTCGCTGCCCCGTGGGGGTGGATGCTCTGCAGAGCCTGACGCGTGAGCGGGCAGAGCGAGGGATGATCTGGTGCCCAGCATCTCCCCGAGGAAGATTAGTCTGGCTAATTGTTAGAAAACACCTTTGGATTCGTGCAATTTCTTAGGAGCTGTGGGCTGCGAGATGCTTGTGTGTGAGGTGCCCTTGCGCATCTGTCCCTGGCCGGCAGCTCTTGGTCTCTGCTGGCCACGCGCCCTCCCGGGCCGAGGGTCCAGGGGCACGCTCAGCGGCGACGGCAGGAACGCGGCCCAGGTACCCAAGCCCAAGCAGGGTGGTAGAAGGAAACAGCTTTCAGCCCTTTCTAAGCTTAAAATCTACTCGTTTCTCTATGCTTCAGTGCAGAAAAGTCTCGTAGCTTTAAAAAAAATACTTTGGCTGGTCTTGTTTAACCCTTTAAGTTCCTTTGCCAGCAGAGGTAGTGGATTCGTGTTGAAGGGTTATCTCTACAAAAAAAAAAAAGCCTCTTACACTGGCAGGGGCTGTGACTCGATCCAGGCCGTGGGGGTCCTGAGGAGGAGGCATCTCCCCTTGGTGACCTGCTCTCTGCCCAGCTCCATCTCGCGGCCAGCTGGAAGAGCAAAGGCGTAGCCCAGGACTTGCAGCTCAGATTTTTGGACACCACATATCTATTAAAAAAAAAAACCCTGAGAGATCAGGCAACGCTCAGGACCCCGCAGCCAGGAAAACCTGTCCCCTGAGCTTGCTCACAGCCTGCAGGTTGCTCTTTGCGTGGCTCCTGCCAAGTAGAAAAATGCCCATAAATACAAGCAGCAACGCAAACCTCGTCAGCCGAGCCAGGAAAGGCACGTCGCTGGTTGAGTCCTGTGTTGCTTAGAAGTGCTGAGGCAGTAAATTCATCACTGGACTTTGGGTGCCCGGTACAGTCAGTTATAAATGATAAATGTACCTTGCAGGGCCTGGCAAACGGTGCAGCCGCGGCCCTAAAGCCGAGGCCGGCTCTGTGGGAGATGGTGCGGGTGCCTTTCACCCGTCTACGCCGACCCCAGCACTCCTCCGGCCGTGTCGTCCCTTCCCGGCGAGCTGTTCCCCAGGCCGGCAGAGCCAGCCCACGCGCGTGGTGCTCGGCATTGTCCGTCTGTCCGTGCGGTGCCCGTGCCGTGCTGCAGTGCCATTCTCTTCTCTGCTGTTGGGGAACTCTCCCTGTGCCGCCTCCCGGCAGCCTCGTCTCCCCTTTTGGCCGCAGCCAGCGAGGATGATCAGATCCTTTGACTCTTCCTACCTCAATTTCTGCAGTGGAGGCGTAGGATTAGGGAGCGCAGCAAAAATTAAGCCTGTGCCCTGGCACGGGCACGGCAAAGCCCTGGGTTCCTTCCCAGTCCAGAACAACAAGCGAAGGGTCTGCCCTGCTTCAGCTCCTCCCCAAGTAATGTGCTTCGTGGGCTGCTGGATGGAGCAGGCGCTGCCAGCAGTCAAGGCAGACTGATCTGATTTTCCCCATCGGGAGCCGAGGGACTCGGGGGTTTTGTGTGAAAGCTCCAGCCACGAAACAGCGAGGACTTGCCTGCAGCTGACACACCAAACCCCCCTGAGCTGCCCGTGGCTCCGTCCTGTCCCTCCCCACCA